ACGGAATGGGAAAAGATAGTTGCAAATGACATATCAGATAAAGGGTTAATATCCAGAATCTATAAGGAACTCACCAAACTACACGCCCGAAAAACAAACAACCCAGTGAAGAAATGGGCAGAAGACATGAACAGACACTTCTCCAAAGAGGACATCCAGATGGCCAACAGACACATGAAACGATGCTCAGCATCCCTCCTCATCAGGGAAATACAAATCAAAACCACACTGAGATACCACCTCACGCCAGTCAGAGTGGCTAAAATGAGCAAATCAGAGAACTCTAGATGCTGGCGAGGATGTGGAGAAACGGGCACCCTCCTACACTGTTGGTGGGAATGTAAACTGGTACAGCCCCTCTGGAAAACAGTGTGGAGGTTCCTCAGGAAACTAACAATAGAACTCCCCTATGACCCAGCAATAGCACTGCTAGGAATTTACCCAAGGGATACAGAAATGCTGATGCATAGGAGCACATGTACCCCAATGTTCATAGCAGCACTCTCCACAATAGCTAAAACATGGAAAGAGCCTAAGTTTCCATCAACGGACAAATGGATCAAGAAGATGTGTTTTATCTATACGATGGAATACTACATGGCAATGAGAAAAAATGAAATCTGGCCATGTGTAGCAAAATGGATGGACCTTGAGGGTGTTATGCTGAGCGAAATAAGTCAGGCAGAGAAGGACAAATATTATATGTTTGCACGTATAGGAGGATTAGGAGGAACTTAATGGAGGACCAAGGGGGAGAAGAAGGGGGGAAATAGTGGGGGAGAGGGAGAGAGGCAAACCATAAGAGACTCTTGAATACTGAGAACAAACTGAGGACTGATGGGTGTGGGGAGGGAGGGGGGAGATGTGCATGGAGGAGGGCACTTGTGGGGATGAGCACTGATTGTTATATGGAAACCAACTTGACAATAAACTGTTTGTAAAAAAAAAAAAAAAGGGAAGAAAGAAAGAAAGAAAAAAAAAAACCTTGCTGGTTGGGGATCAGAAGGGCTGGTCTGAAACTTTACAAGAGCCTTAACTCATGGCCATTTACTTTGTGCATGGTTAATTAACCTTCTGCTGTCAAGTTTCTATTGAAGCTGCATGTATAAGAAGTAGTCCTGTTTCAACTTAAGATTAAAGGTCATGAGACTGGATCTAGTTGTGGCTCCTCCATCAAGTTGCATGGCCTTAGGGAAGCTGGTTAGCTGCTCTAGGTCTTAATTTCCCCACCTAAAAAAGAATCAGCTTAGCTTCAATATCTAAACACCTTTCCAGCTATGCAGTTTTGGAAGAATATGCATTTTCTCTTGCATCTCTTCTACCTTTATGGAAGGTGCTAAAGGGGTGAATGGCCACACATCATTACAGAAGGGAGTTAATTACTCAACAAATAGTGTTATAGGTGAGCTGTTTAAAGTAAGAAAATAACCAATATTTTAATCTTTTACTATGTGTCAATATTAATTCCAAGTGGATTAATGAGTTAAATTTAAACATTCAGAAGATCTTCAAAAAGAAGAAAATATAAAATTTATCTTAGATAAGAAAATATTTGCAAAACTTAGAAAGGTGTTAAAACCATGGGGGCGCCTGGGTGGCTCATTTGCTTGAGCATCTGATGCTTGATTTTGGCTCAGGTCATGATCCCAGGGTTGTGGGATTGAGCCTTGCATCTATGCTGAAGGTGGAGCCTGTTTAAGATTCTCTCTCTGGGCTCTCCCCCACTCCCCGCCCTTCTCCCACACTCAGACATGCTCTCTCTCTAAGAAAACAAACAAAAAATATTACTAGATTCTGTAACATAAAAATGAACAATTACATACTTAGAAATATTAGCCAACTTAGAAAAAAAGATCAAACTAGGGACATATTTTCAATAAATGGTTAATATCCTAAATATAATCCCATCTCGTTCCATCTACCTGTTTCACTCAAATCTTGACTGAACTCAACCAAGGAGGAAGTGTGTAACTCTATATATCTGGAAACAACTATATTTTGGTTTTGGATTAGATGATTCTCTCTGAAGGCCTGAGAGACTACTCAATAACTTCTCTCCAGTAGTTCCAGAATGGAAAGGTTATTATTGATATAATAATACCTTGTGTATATATAAAATGTCATAGTATAAAAAAGGGCATTTACTCCATTATCTTATTTTAGTCTTAAAGCAACATTGTAAGATAGCTAAGTAATGATGACTCTAACTTCACAAATGATAAACTAAGGCACAGAAAAGATAAGTAACCTTCCTAAAATCACATCAGGGGCTAAATGTTAAAACAAAATCTGGACCTCAGATTGGGATTCTGCCTCAGTTTTGCTCTCTTTATAGTGAGGATTACAAATTAGAAATTGTCTACATTGCCTTCCAGATTTAAACCAATGATTTATGATAGCACCATGCTCTATTATTGAGGTGGGGACCAGTGGAAAAATAAAAACACTGAAATTTTGCTGTGTTGATGAAAGGAAAACATCCCCCCTAATCTTGATAGAATTTATTGGTTTTGAATACCAAAATATTACTTGCTATGTTTTTTTCAAAACATTTTAGTATTACAAAACTTTTTTTTAACAGAGTACAAAATAGCAGTAAAGTTCTCCATGATTTTTAGCACTACTTATGCTGGAGGTCTTGATTAAGTGGATTCTGAAATCAAAAGTCTTGGAATGTTGCCTCAAAAACATCCTAGGAAGCCTACCCTTTTATTTATTTAAAAAAAATTTTAGGGCGCCTGAGTGGCTCAGTCAGTTAAGCATCTGACTTTGGCTCAGGTCATGATCTCCCAGCTCACGAGTTTGAGCCACACATTGGGCTCTGTGCTGACAGCTCAGAGCTGGAGACTGCTTGAGATTCTGTGTCTCCCTCTCTCTCTGCCCCTTCCCTACTTGCACTCTGTCTCTCTCTCAATCTCTCTCTCTCTGTCTCTCTCAAAAATGAACAAATATTAAAGAAAAAAAAATAAACAGGGTAGGGATAGAGAGGGAGGGAGACACAGAATCCATAGCAGGCTCCAAGCTCTGAGTTTTCAGCACAGAGCCCAATGTGGGGGCTCAAACCCACAGACCTAGAAGGGATCATGACTTGCGATGGCTACTTAACCAACTGAGCCACCTAGGCACCCTGGAAGCCTACCCTTTTAAAGTTTGTCATGCTTATTAGCTCTTAGGAGATGACTTGGTCCTGTAAAAGAAGTATCTCCCTTTTGTTTACTCTTTTGAGTGTTGCAATAAATTTTTCAGGGTTCATTATATACCTCCTAATTCCTCTCATTAACCAATTATTCAAAACTCAGGTCTTTTTAAGTTTATTTATTTATTTTTGAGAAAGAGAACACAAGTGGGGGAAAGGCAGAGAGAGAGAGAGAGAGAGAGAATCTCAAGCAGGCTCCACACTGCCACTGAAGAGCCCAATGCAGGTCTGGAACACACCAACTCACCAATCTGAGATCATGACCTAAGCCAGGTTAACTGAGCCACCCAGATGCCCCTTCAACACTGACTGCATCCATGTCAATTTTGTCTACTTTCCAAGTAGCTTTAACCATGTTAAGTTGTCCAAATTCTTTTCTCTTTCTTCTTGGGAGATTTTTCCTACGGCTAGGGACTGAGCTCTATACCATTTTTATGATCCTATCCCTAGTTTCATGAGTCATTAACAGGTGGAAATCAAGAAACACCTTGTAGTTCACATGGCCCAAGGTATCTCAGTTTGGACCACTATAGTTTTTCAGCCAATCGTAAAATTTAAAGGACAGAAGTTGTGTGGACCTGGTAGTGTAAGACCCTAAGGCTTCAAAGAACAAACTGGGAGGTCCAAAGAAGACATCCAGGTGGCCGACACATTAAACAATGCTCAACGTCACTCATCATCAGGGAAATACAAATCAAAACCACACTGAGATACCACTTCACACCAGTCAGAGTGGCTAAAATGAACAAATCAGGAGACTCTAGATGCTGGCAAGGATGTGGAGAAATGGGCATCCTCTTGCATTGTTGGTGGGAATGTAAACTTGTACAGCCACTCTGGGAAACAGTGTGGAGGTTCCTCAAAAAATTAACAACAGAACTCCCCTATGATCCGGCAATAGCACTGTTGGGAATTTACCCAAGGGATACAGGAGTGCTGATGCATAGGGGCACATGTATCCTGATGTTCATAGCAGCACTTTCAACAATAGCCAAATCATGGAAAGAGCCTAAGTGTCCATCGACCCACAAATGGATCAAGAAGATGTGGTTTATCTATACAATGGAATACTATGTGGCAATGAGAAAAAATGAAATCTGGCCATGTGTAGCAACACGGATGGAACTCAAGGGTGTTATGCTAAGTAAAATAAGTCAGGCAGAGAAAGACAGATACCGTATGTTTTCGCTCATATGTGGAACAGGAGAAACTTAACAGAGGACCATAGGGGAGGGAAGGAGGAGGAATAGCTAAGGAGAGGGAGGGAGGCAAACCATTAGAGACTCTTAAATACTTAGAACAAACCTAAGGTTGACGGGGGGCTTGGGGGAGAGGGGAAAATGTGTGATGGGCATGGAGGAGGGCACTTGTTGGGATGAGCACTGGGTGTTATATGGAAACCAACTTGGCATTAAACTATTTAAAAAAAACCTGGGAGATGACTGGGAGCAACGCCTGAGGACCTCAGTCATTCATTGGACACTGAGCACGTCAATCACTGTGTCTGGACAAATGAGGGTGGAGCTCAAGAGGAGGGCGCGCGGCCCATTGTTGACGCCTCTGGCCCCGCCTCCCATCCACAGGCGAGCAGAATCATTCTGGCCGTGTCCAGTGTCGCCTCAGGGGAGGCCTGGGCGGGCTGCTCCCCACAACCGCCCCCTGCCCTGCCCATCCAGGGCTTCCTCAGGCTCTGCCGCAGACTGCTGTCCCCTCAGCGGCCAGACGTTGGGACGCCCCGATCCATCTCACGTCGGGCCCGTTGCCCTCGGCCTCCCGTCGGTGGCAGCGGGGTAGGCCACCACCATCTTCGCCCCCGGTGTCACCGCAGCCCTGTCGCCTCCCCGGTGAGGTACCCCCTGGTGCCATGTCTGCCTCCGGAGATCCAGGCCAGGCCCCAGGTGACCAGGATAGCCCCCTGGATGAGGCAGGGGCATGGGCCCCGGCGGCTGGAAGCGGCAACGATGTGGCCGGCGGCAACATGGTGGCCTCTGGAGATGGGGTGCCGGCGGGTGGAGACGAGATGGCCAGAGACGGAGTGGCTGGTGGTGATGAGGTGGCCGTTGGTGATGGTGTGGCTGGTGGAGAGGAGATCGCCCGAGACGGAGGTGGAATAGCCAGAGATGGAGACGAGGTAGCCCGAGATGGGGACATAGTGGCCAGAGACGGAGAATGGGTGGCGGGGGGCAGAGATGGAGTAGATGGTGATGGAGTGGCTAGAGATGGAGACTGGGTAGTCGGCGATGGAGACATAGTGGCCGGTGGTGACTGGGTGGGTGGAGGCGGAGTTGCCGGCGGAGACTGGTTGGCCGGAGGTGGAGACGGAGTCGCTGGCGGAGACTGGATGGCCGGAGGTGTTGGTGGAGTGGCCGATGGAGAATGGGTGGCCGGAGGAGGAGATGGAATGGCCGGCGGAGACTGGGTGGCCGGAGACGAAGTGGCCGGAGGTGGAGACAGAGCGGTCGGCGGCGTAGAAGGAGTGGCCGGAGGCGGAGACGGGGTGGCCGGTGACCCCGGGCCCCTCCCTGCCGAGGCTGCCGGTGCAGCTGCAGCTGAGCCCGCAGAAGGCCTCGGGCAGGAGGCGGTGGGTCCCGACGGCGGGAGAGCCCTCGAGGCGGGCGAGGACTCGGACTCGGACTCGGACTTCAGGCCGGCGGACGAAGACGGCGTGGAAGAGCTGGAGGCCGCTGTGGGTGTGCTGGTGGATGCCCACGATTTCCCAGTGGTGGGCTTCCGCTTTATGTTCTTGGAGCTGGTGTACGCGCTGCTGCACCGCGCCTACTACAACAACCACGTCCTCGTGCGGTACCGGCCTCTGCAGCCCAGCGCTCCCCCTGCGTCCCCAGCGGGGCCCGCGGCCGACGAGTCTCAGGGCTCATCCGAGGAGGAGGAGAAGGAGGAGGAGGAGGAGAAGGAGGAGGAGAAGGAGGAGGAGGAGGAGGCCGCCGCCGCCTGGGAGACCGTGGAGGAGTCCTACGAGGAGCCGGCGGCCACCGAGGGTGAGAGGTGGCCCAGGCGGCCGAGGCCGAGGGTGGGGGCACCCCCAGACTGAAGGCCGAGGGCCCGGGTGGGAGCCCCGTGCCGTAGCGACCCATGGCTTTGAGAAGGAAACATGCTGCCCTTTGGCAGCGGCGGCTAACAGAGCCCCAAGCCGCGGGGCAGGTGCAGGTCCGCAGGAGGGGTGTGCAGGAGGGCGGGACGCTGTGCAGGGGGCGGGAGGGGTGTGCAGGAGGGCGGGGAGGGGGCGGAGCCTGAAGGAACAGAGCCAGCCAGTGGCTCACCCGTTTTGTCCATAGCTTTTCAAAATGACGTTTTAATTTTTTTAATGTTTTATTTCTGGGAGAAACCTCTGGGAGGTTTATTTATTTCTGGGAGACCCTCCCCTGAGCAGGGGAGGGTCAGAGAGAGAGGGAGACACAGAACCTGAAACAGGCTCCAGGCTCTGAGCTGGCTGTCAGCACAGAGCCCGACGCGGGGCTCGAACCCACGAACCATGAGATCATGACCCGAGCCGAAGTCGGACACTTAACCGACTGAGCCACCCAGGCGCCCCTAAAAACGACAAGTTTTAAAAAGTTCATCCCCAATCATTATGAACTGATGTGGGAACACTTGTAAATGTGAAATATTCAGGGTTGAGGGACTAATGAGCTTCATCAGAGAATTTGTAGTGGAGGCAAAACATTGTTGCCAGAAATCTCTGAGAGAACATACACAAGGCAGCAGCCCCCGATGATTCTGGGCCCTCCTTCTCCGAAGGGCCAGCAACAGCAGCACAGGGTGGCAGGTTGACTGGAAAGAAAGAAAGTCACTGTGGAAGCGGCCGTGCAGCAGAAGGGGGAGGGCCACGGCAGGGCTGCGTCCACCAGGGTCCCAGCTCTGCTGCTCCGAGTTCCTTCCGCCCTCCCGCTTCTCCCGCGGGTCCACGTCGCTATTCCTCGCGCGTCGCGATATTTCTTCGTGAACGTCTGCTCCAAAGTCTGTTTATTCTTCACGAAAGGAACAACAAACCATCAGCATGAAAACTCCGATAAGGATGCGCAAGTCGCGGAGAGCGAGGAAGAAGCGACGTGTAACAAAAACCAAGAAGGATCTCACTGAGAAGCATTCCGACGCGCCACACACCAGACCCAGAAAAGGCAGGTACCCGACAGCTGTGCCTGTCACCCAGCCATTCCCGGCATTTACCTGTTATTGACAGGGTTTTGGGTTTTTTTAATGCACCCAGTAAATTAAGGAGTTGGTTTAAAATTCATTCCAAAATTCAGTTTTACCTACTTACGATGTTAATAGGACACTCAGGTACTAGTAACAGAAACCACAGTATATTTTGAAATCTATTTCACGGCTCCTCATTCGTTCTTGTGAGGTCTTTTGTCGTCTACCCCTAAGACGACTAACTAATGGTACACGTATCGGTAACTGAGACCGGTCCTGGTGTAGAAAACGGTGACCGAAGCAGCGGCTGAAGTGGTCGGGCTGTGCGCCGGCGGGGTCTTCATCACCCGGCCCACGACATGCAGCCCCTCGCGCTCCCTGGAACCCATGCCTTTTCGAAGGCGATTACATGCGAATGGCGAAAAGGTCCGAGTTTCAAGTAGGACCGCAGTTACCGATGAACGCCTAAGGATTCACGTGTGGATTTTTGTATTTTCGGTGACAGTCCAGAGAAACTTACAGCATGGCCATTACTTCTCACTGAATTGCTAATTAAGTCTTGAGGTATATCTTGTCTTTGAATATATTTAAATGATTCACATTTGATTTTTTTTTTTTTTTTTGCATTTTCACAGCTATGTATGTCACAATACCAGCCTGTTTCTCCTCCGGTAGATAGGGAAATCGAGGGTCTGGGAGGGTAAGGGAGTATCATTTGTGGAATGAGCATAGGCTTTTAAGGTGAAGAGATTTCCTTAAATCCCAGAACGGCCTCTCAAGGGAAAGAGGAAAGCACTGATGGTTGTTAGGCCAGAGGGAGACCAGGTTGGTCTGAGCAGGTGATCGAAGCCATGGGCCCCACGAACACCCGGAGCACAAGGTACAGGTTACAGGTGAAACTGGGTTGTTCTCTCCTTGTTGACAAACAGCCCGCAGACGTGGCAGATACACACAGGGCTGTTTTCATAGGTTTGGAAAGTCGCTGTTGCTGCTTAATGCTCTATGATCGTTAATTTTCTCTCGTTTCATCCTGCAGCTGGGAGGAACGAGAAAAGATGAAGAAAGAAGAATCTGTGGCTCATTGTTTTTGGTTTTTCATTTTTTAGAAGCGCGTGGGAATTTCATTAACACCAATGTCATTCTGAACCGCATCGCCCCAAGAGTGATATCCAATGAAATCTGCCTTTTCTGTTACACTTGACAGTTATGTTTGACAACATTTGTTCTCATCAAAAATAAGCTTGTTTTAAATTTATAAACTGGAATGAAGGCAGATTTTATTTAGATAAATTATCTGAAATCTCTCTTTTACCTCTTTGTTTTGGCACACTCTACCTTCATTAAAAGCTATCACTTCCTACCATTTGGTGAGCCTGTTTTAAATTATTTTATTATAGCCCCAAATAAGTTAAAATGTCAAGTTTAAAACAATTGTTGGAGAGACGGAGACGGAGGTCAGGTCTTCAGAGCCACGCTGCCCAAGACGTGAGTAACCCACTGCGCGTGGCTGCCGAAACACGCCTGCTCTTATTTGAGGCACGCCGTAAGCAGAAAACTGACATAACTCACTGATTTTACACTGATTACACAGCAAAGTGATACTTTATTAAGTGAAAATGTGCTATTGAAATTAATTTTGCCCATTTCTTGTTACTTTTTTAGTGTGGCTATGAGAAAACTTAAAGTGCCACACATGAGTCACATGGTCACGTATATCAGATGGCACTGCTCTAGCGTGTGGTTCGGAAGGACACCTCGCGGGTGGCCCAGCTGGCCTGGAGGCCACATGGTGCCGCTGAGCGACCCAGACACTGATTCACAGGGCAGTTCTCCAAGTTTGGTTAAGAGCCACAGGGGAAGAGGAGACTCACCTATGGTAGAAGCAGCCTTAATTCACTGGCTTGGGACTTGCTGGTAAACTGAACAGGACAGCTAGGGCTGGACTGGGGACAAGGCCAGAGCTCACAGGGGCCGAGACACAGAGGGGCTCACACTGGGTGAAGGCAGGAAACTGCAGAAGGGAAGAAGCCGATTCCAGAAGGATACAAACAGGATACCATGTATCTCAAGTCTAAAAGCACATGCAAAATGATCACCATGTACTGCTTGTGGATACAAACATCTGGAGTAAAAAGCAAGCATAGGAGAGATGCATACAAATGTAGCATGTGTAACGGCATGGGGGGAAAGGTACCTAAATCACTTAGGGTGGTGATGACCTCCTGGGGAAACAGAGGGATCCTACTGGGGAAGGCTCCACAGAGGCTTCAACTGTATCTGCAATGTTAAATTTCTTAGACTGCGCAGTGGATACAGAGATGTTGATAGAGTATTATAATTTTGCATAGATTTGAAATATATCATAATAATGATAAAAAAGAAGAAAGGGAGAGAACTGACTTAATTTCTAGAATATGTTTAAGAAAAAAGAAAGATAAAGTCATAGTTGACTCAAACAGAGGATCAGAGAAGGGGAAAGGCCATGGGTTTCAGACAAGAGGGCTTCATCTCTGCATTTAGTTAAGGCTTCCTAGGTGCCCCCTTGGTAGCATGAGATACCTTCTCTCATGTTCTGTGCTAGCACATCTTGTGTTCTAACATACAAAAAATCTAACACATACATATATCTCCCTATTGCACCAACACCAATCCCTGGACTGAACCTCTGAATGGTTGGGACCTTAAAGAGTTTTAGTCTTTCTTGCCCAAAGCCCTAATTAGGTGCTTAACTAATGTCTGCTAAAATGAAGTGAACTTAACACTGCCACAACTCTGTTTTCTGGTCACCAGTGTTGACATTTTAAAATGTATTATCAAGGGTGCCTGGGTGACTCAGTCGGTTAAGCGACCAATTTTGGGTCAGGTCATGATCTCTCAGTTCCTGAGTTCAAGCCCCGTGTCGGGCTCTGTGCTGACAGCTCAGAGCCTGGAGCCTGCTTCAGATTCTGTGTCTCCCTCTCTTTCTTTGCTCCTCCCCAGCTTATGCGCACTCTTTCTCTCTCAAAAATAAACATTAAAACAGGGGATCCTGTGTGGCTCAGTTGGTTAAGTGTCCGATTTTGGTTCAGGTCATGATCTCTCTGTTCCTGAGTTCAAGCCCTACATCGGGCTCTGTGCTGACAGCTCAGAGTCTGGAGCCTGCTCAGATTCTGTGTTGCCCTCTCTCTCTGTTCCTCCCCAGCTCATGCTCCGTGTGTGTCTCAAAAATAAACATTAAAAACATAAATAAAAAATAAAATAAAACGTATTATCACGTAGTGCTCTTTATGTCTAGAACCACATGGCAAAATAAGAAGGCAGAGGGCTCTTTGTCACTGAAAGGGCAGGCCAAGGTAGTGTGATTTGAGGGTCCTCAAACTGGTCCTGATTTGTTAGTATTTATGCTGTGTTACTTGTAACATACTACTGCTTTTACCCAAGCAAGAGGGACCTGTGTCCTGAGCTCCATGCTGTAGAGGCCCCACTTTGGTCCTCTTCCAACCTTGCTCTTCCCTATGGGACCAGGATCCTAGTCCACGGGGACGAGGGGGATGCCCTGCTGCAGATGCTCCAGTTACTGGGCACCCGGAACAGTCCAAGCCTGCTGTCAGGGCCTGTGTGCTCCTCTTGGAGCTGTCCTTTGGGGGTGGGGGGATGATTCCATAGCTGGGGGGGATGTGTGCTCACAGGCCCAAGGGGACAGAGTCGTGTGCCTGGAACAGGATGGGGCTTGCTCTACCAGATGGCAGGGCGGGGGTGGGGGTAGGTCAGCTCTTCCTACACCACTGGAGCAGGACTTAGAGGGGTATGAGAATTCTAAGTCCCAACTAGCCCTTTCAGGTCATTATGAAGGTACATTTGTCATGGAAGGAGAGAAACCATTCAATAAAACATGCTACATTTGGTGATTTATATATTTCAAATATTCAGACATAGGGTATGAGGATGCCCAACCAAACTCTCTTTCTGACCCCTGAAAATTTTACAAATGTTACAGGAAAGCCAAGTTAAACCTTTTAAAAAAAAAAATTTTTTTTTTACATTTATTATTGACAGAGTGAGACAGAGCATGAACAGGGGAGGGGCAGAGAGAGAAGGAGACACAGAATCTAAAGCAGGTTCCAGGCTCTGAGCTAGCTGTCAGCACAGAGCCTGACACAGAGCTCGAACCCACGAACCGTGAGATCATGACCTGAGCCAAAGGCGGACGCTTAACTGACTGAGCCACCCAGGCGCCCCAAGGAAAGTCAAATTAAATATCTGATCTATCACTCCTTTCCCTTCTTCACTCCATGTTACACTTTGTTACCTGAGCACAATGGGGCCCTTTCCTTTTGATAATGGTGTGTTCCAATATCCTGTCTTGTTATGGGACTTGGATCTAGTCCCTGAGCCAGGCTGGAGTACATCCACCATCATGCCCCCTCTACTTACCGCCATCTGCATTCTCTGTCCCACTCATCTGTTTGTTCTCCAAGTGTTTGTACACATAAAAGCCTCCTCTTCAATACCACTTTCTCCTCCATACAAATACACATCTGGAAGCCATCAGCTAAGTCAGGCACACTTGTGTGGAGGTCCTGTATGCCCTGCACAGTCTCTTTTTTTTTTTTTTTTCTTTTTAGTAATCTCTATACCGAACATGGGGCTCGAACTCACAACCCTGAGATCAAACTTCATATGCTCTTCTGACTGAGTCAGCTAGGCGCCTCTGCCCTGCACAATCTCTTAAGATCATTTTGCTTCTCTAACAACCCCCAGGTCTTAGTTGTCAATATCCTATTTGATTTCCCTCCCTATGTGACAGATAAGACAGACTACACAATAGGTTCTGTTGTATTTGTTTTTCATACAGCAAAGATCAAAGGAGCTGAATACTTGTAAGAATGTGCCTCTGAGAATTAAAAAATAACCTCTTCATTTAAAAACAGAGTTGTTAGCTATGTGAAAAAATTATTAATGGAGAGCTTTCAGAATAAGAATAACAGAAGAGAGGTCCACACTGAGAAAAGAGAGAAGAGAGGTGTAACAGCCAATCTACCAGGATCACCAGGGTAAAGGGAATCTACCTAAATAAACTGTTCACTATCACAATAAAAGGCAATCAATTCCAAGCAATCCAAACCCCAGCATTATCAAAACAGCAAAAGATGCAGTGTCAGAACAATAGGTGTTTTATAGAGAAAACACAAAGCCCAGCATATGGTTGTATAGTGTCACAGTATACTATCACCGGCACAATCCAGGACCCATTGATTTTTCTCAGCCAATCCATTTAGAACTTAAAGGCATAGCTACTATGTGTAGGCCTACATTTCTGTTTAAGCAAAGGAGCCCCAAGGTGACAGAGGCAGATGCTGAAAATGTGAAGACACTTCTGGGTCTCCTAAGAAAATGAGTTAGGCATTGCCCAGGCCTCCAAAGGGAGCTCTCAGTGTTTGTTGGTGTTTGCGGTATAAAATAAAGGAAACGACTTGGAGAGGAAAATTTAACTAACTTCCAGTGAACCTAGATAAAAACCTAGGGTGGCTTCTGCCTCAGAGAGCCAGCCTATTAGCCAACTGACTCTTAGGTAAAGACGTCTACATCTTTACTCCCCTGCCTGGAAGTTCTTAATGGCTGCAGTGCTACAAAAGAAATAGACTATGTGGCAGGATGGGAAGGGAGGAGTCAAAAATCGTTGGGAGATATGATCCGTTCCCTCACAGCTCACTGACTGTTCCCCTCACCCTGACCCTTCCTCTCCCATTCCCACTTCTGTTCTTCCCTCCTCTCTGTGGCTAGGGGTGAGTGGCTTGCCAGGTGATGGGAGCTGTCCAATCTAGTAACGTGTTTTTTCAAAGTTTTTATTCAAATTCCAGTTAGTTAACATACAGTGTAATATTACAGGTGTACAATATAGTGATTTAACACTTCCGTACAACAGTGCTCATCCCAACAAATGCCCTCCTTAATCCCCATCACCTATTTCCCCTAACCCCCCACCCGCCTCCCCTCTGGTAACCATGAGTTTGTTCTCCATAGGTCAGAGTTTGTTCCTTGGTTTGCCTCTCTTTTCCCCCTTTTTTGGTTTGCCTCTCTTTTCCCCCTTTGCTTGTTTGTTTTGTTTCCTAAATTCCACATATGAGTGAAATCATATGATATGTGTCTTTCTCTGACTGACTTAGTTTGCTCAACATAATACTCTCTAGCTCCACCCACATCATTGTAAATGGCAAGATTTCATTCTTTCTGATGGGCAAGTTATATTCCAATGCGTGTATGTAAGTGTGTGTCACACACACACACACACACACACACACATTACATCCTTATCCATTCATCAGTTGACAGACACAGGGGTTCTTTCCATCATTTCAGCC